CAGCCCCAGCGCCCAGGCCTTCTTCATGGCCCCGAGGAAGCTGTCGAGCCCGCCCTCCAACTGAGACATGAGCTGTGGGCCTGCACTTACTCCAACAGCAGCCTGTTGCCTTATTGCGAGATGTGCGAGTTCCCACGCTCTTCTTCTGGCAACAGCTCAGGTAGGATTAAGAACGAACTAAACAAAATAGATGATCTGATCCGTCACTCCTACTGTGTATGTTGTTGCACTTTTATCTTTATTAATTAACAACTGGATTCCATTAAGAAAAGGACAATAACTCATCTATTGCTTGAATTGAGCACCTGAAGCGGAAATCCATTCATTGCTTTATTTTCCTTCCTGTCAATATCAATCGCAACAGTCTGTTTGACATAATACTTTTGAACAGCATTACAGATTTCACCAGATGGAAGCTGATAGCGAAATGAGGCAGGCTTGCCAGAGTCTGAATAGCTCTGCTCGGAGAATATTGTCTGTCTCGTTCTCTCTCTCTCTCTCTCTGCAGATGACAAGGACACAGTATATCTCACCTGTCAGCTGGAGAGAGAGAGAGAGAGAGTGAACAGGCGCCTGCTATTGCTGCAAACGTCTTGCACGAAGTTTGGGAAAAGTTGAGCTGGCTCTGGCTGATATCTCTGACAGCCTATGATTGTATCTTGCAAAAGAGAGGGAGGGAAGTCGTTATGACCTGGCAGGCTGCAGGTCCATGCTCTTTAAATGTCTGAGAGGCATCAGCTCGAGATGACTTTAAAACATTATGCAGAAATTCACTGCGGTTTCAGCACCAGTGGTATTTAGGCAGCATTTGTTTTAGTGCCTCTTTTAAAGCAGGATGTTCCACTGAATTTTATGGTTGTATTGATATTAGTGTACTTGTAATTTAAAGTGAGGCTAACGTATATATCCACACGCTTGGATCCAACTTTGCTCTTGTTGTGTCTTATCCATTCTGACACAGCCTCCCACTGAGAATTAACTGAAGAAACTACTACAGGTGATGCAAAAAACACCTGAATCTCACAGGCAAGATGATTTCTTCAGCCATAAACACATATACTGTACAAATGCTTTATGACAACATTTGAATATATTAATATAATTTAATTTTTGTTTAATACATTCAATTTCTCACCTGTCTGCATTAATGACTCTCTAAGTCTCTTTATGCTTATATATCAGCTCAATTTAGTGTAAGTACAGAGTAAATGTTGGCTGTGCGGAAGGTTTGTTTGCAGCTCGGCCCATTGGAAGGGAGGATGGTGCACTTAAACACACAGTTCAAACAACCAGTACCTCAGCCTTTAAGCAGCACAAAAACACACACCCACACACAGAATTCACCCCCTATTTCATGCTCAGCTGCAGCAGATGCTTGATAACTATTCAGCAATCACACTCTCTTCTTTGTCACAAGCGCCACTCTGCATTCACAGCAGCAGGCTGTGTCAGCTCGGTAGACAGGGAATTTAACAACCTGCTAAATTTGTAAATGACAGACTGTGCTGAAAAATAACAACTATATTTATGGAGATATATCTCAGCTTGGCACTGCAGTCCTCAGCTCGTGGAAATGTAAGAAAATAATCAGGTCAGAGCCTATAGTGTGACATGAGAGATGTTATCCCTTCAAGAGCAACAATTCCTCACAATGACTGTAAAGAAAGTTGCGACACTGTGTCACAAGTTGTGTCAGCGGTATGACGTGCTGCAGAGAATCACAGAATACCGACGCATGATGCAGGATATCAGGGCTTCATATTTAAAGTAAAGGAACAGAAGAAGCATCAAAGGCATTTGGCTTTCACTGTCTGTGGATTTGTGCAGCATGGCAAAAATACAGCATGACAGCAGCTGTAGAGGAATAAAAGTCAGCATGCATGTACAATTAGGCGTTTGTACCAGAAAGTAACAGAATGAGATGCAAGAAATGAGAAGGAAAATAAAGATTTTTATGATTAGATGCAAAGTATTGAAGCTTGATGTGGGAAGGCTAGAAGCTGGTTACCAAACAGTGACAAATTGAGCCTTTGCTGAGCCCCATTCCCTTAGCTAGTGTTGCTTAATAAAGCCTGCCATTCTAGAGCTACGCATGCAGTTTGCAGTGATAACAGCGATAGATTTAGCACCAAAAATGCATACAAATGCTTACCTTCATTTTCTCACAGTAGTGAACAAAAGCAGCTTCTCATTTCTGGCCGAACGCCGTAGATTATGTCAGTGGAAATGACAACTGTTGCTTGCAGATCAGCTGTAGCTAGCTAGCGTTTGCTAATTAACACTAACTCTATGAGTTATTTGAAAAGTCCTCCTTCAGATGACGTTTTAATGTTTCCTCTTTTTAAAAGGAGAACCCTTTAAAAGGGTCTTAAATATGCACTTGAGGACCACATAAATGGTATGCAAATGTTAGCATTCTCACTAGTTGATTCAAAAAGTTAAAGACTCGTTCCTGCATTGCATTTACCTTTTTTATCTAAAAGAAAGAAAATGTTTCAGTATAAGAACTAACCCTACTCCATCTTAGGTAACAGGCTTGGCTGGAGTTGCCGCAAATAAAAAGCATGACATAGCCACTAACGTTAGCCTAGGCTGACCATATTTTTGTTTTCAAAAAAGGCAGGAGGCTGACGGACACCCACAGTGCGTAGAAGGTTTCAGCTGGGGGGATTCAAGTAATTGGTGGCAATGTGTACTGCAGAGGCTCTATCCACCTGGAGGAGGAACTAGTATAAGTTAGTCTATTAGTACAATATTACAACATTTGATGGTAGTATAATACTAATATAATTATAGGTTAAACTTTATTTGGCTTATGTCTGCCTACAGAGTGTTTAAAGTAGGTCTATTTGTAACATTTCAGCATTTCTGTCTTGTTGAGGTTTGATTAAGGCTAATATTAGCGTATTCATTATAATTCCAGATAATAGTATCATATATAGATTACCACTTGTATAATATTAATTCCAAAGACAGCAGTTTCATTATGGTATGTTGTTCTCATTCATTAAATATTTGTGCAAGAAAAATGGTCGACATGCGGGTTAGTCTCTAATTTGTTAATGCTAAGTGCTAACTTGTCAATAATCAGAACCATTCATGCAGAACAAGTTCAACATTTCGATAGTTTGCTGTAGAGCACCACCCAGCCTTTTTTAGTGGCCCGCCCCATCCAGGCTGTGAATGGTCGCTTCATGAAAAGTGAGCTACTATATGCACACGTTTTTGTGACTGTAGGTAATAAGCGAGTTAGTCCGGAATGCTAACGTCTAACCTAGCTTACGTTAGAGCAGATGGACAATACTATTTAATCCATCACTTACACTTCTGCTTTTGTGTTTTTGCCTTTTGAAATGATAAAAAAGACACCATCCTCTAAACCCTTTTACATATGGAGGATTGGTCTTACTAAAACACCACTTTGTGCTCTAAGCTACAATGAAACAACTGCTGTTGGGTTTTAGTGAAAGGGTAAAATATCGAAAGCCAGAGACATTTTGGTGGGAAGCTTTGGTTTTTTATAATGTAAAATATTTTTTTTTGATTCAGGTGATTTTTAATTGAGTTGACTTGGAATTTGTGTAGTTGGTCCTATTTGCTTCAACTGTTCCTCCATGGTGGCCATCGCTTCTCATATTTAACACAGGCGGTTATATCCCGTGTGGCAGGGAGGAGAGCTTACCAAATTCCAGGTGTTAAACAACAACAGCTTTCATTAATTCAACACAAATTGAATCACTGTTGCTGTGCTATATCGTCAGTAATCGAGAACTGTTTTTAATCAAACTGTCACGCATTATAACTTCCTTTATATGACAGGGTTTGGCATCTGAGGTGGGTTAGTCTGAACAGTTTCCTGAAGTTGATTTAGCACCAGGAAACAACAAGACAGCTTCTGCTGAACAGTTTTCAGGTTGGATCAGTGGTGTTGAGTTTCTGTGTTTGCAGCTTTTTCAGGCCGAGAGCGTGGGCACTGTTCAGTCCTTCAGCTCTTTCACCGATAGACCAGCAATTTGTCTCTCAGCACCTACTGTGAGAAATGTATACAGGAAGAGGGCAATTTGGTTATCTCCTGACTCTTTACGCCTCTCAGCTAGCACTCTATCCCTGCCCTGATTTTTTGCTTGTTTCTTCTTTTTTTTTTTTCTTTTTTACAGTTTTTTAGCATTTAACAGTCGAATCTTTAACTGTTTGATATATAGTATCTGAGGACCAAGTACTTTCCTCTCTTCTGTGATACTTCTTTGTCACAGGCTGCAGCAATTTCACCCCTGCAGACGGCAATAAAAGCTTTTCCTGTTTTATTCAACCACTGGAGTGTGTTATTTTTCATGTGAATTCTCATAAGCTTATGCCGCCGTTGGGTCATGCATAGGATCACATGCTTTTTGCGTGTGTTTGTGTGTAGTAGTATGTTTGTGTGCCTGGATTCAAGACTAAATTTTGGAACCTTATCAAGCCACTACAGACATAATGGGGCCCTGATTGGGGGGAAAACAGGGGGTTGACTGGTAAAGTCGAGGCACGGCCCTGTAGGATTTCCCTGTTAACATCTTCCTCGGTGGGGACAGCTTAACACAAATTGAGCCGTCTCTCCACGGTCTCGCTCGGCTTGTTAGCAAAGGGGGGCAGCGGTGGGGCCAGGAGCCCGGAGACTCAGATGACATTTGAGGGAGCTGACTAGAGGCTGGCCTTTTGAAGAAACAAGCCACAGAGAGGCAGGATCACTAATTAGCCGTCTGCGTCCCCGAGTCTCACAACTTACTGTCTTGTTAGATTTCACACCTAAGGTTCAACAAATAATGTGGAAGGATATGATTTAAATTTAACCAGGGAAGTAGGGAAAGGAAATTGTATAGCACTTCTCTTAAAGAAGTTCTGTTGAGGCGGAAGGTGGTTTTTATATTTGGCGATACATAATTGTCTTCTTGCCTTTAGCAGCTAATCTGTCTGTTCATTTTACCTTGATTTTAAACATCAGGACCACCAAACGCTCAGTTTACGAGGGGCAGAAGACGACTTAAAGTAACATTTTAAATAATTTGGCGTCTATGAATGGCATAATCCTTGCATCCATTAACATTTTTGTGGCTTAGATTTCTGCTTGACCTTCACAGAATTACCACATTTGATATGAATAAAAATATCACAAATGGTTTAAGAGTGGAAATGCAGAACAAGCTTGATCGCCGGGCCACAAGCTGCCGTGGAGACTATTCTTTAAAGCAAGAACTGCGGTTGGCATTCCGCCATTATCAGCTGTTTGAACACCCTTCACCGTGCCCGGCTGGAGCGCTGCACAGATGCACCAATTGCTGACAATTATTTTGTTTAGGTTTGATTGTGCATGATGCAGGCGGGCAATTAACAAAACTATGTGACACAAACATAATTCATTCTCCCGGAGCTGGTGTAAGGAGGGTGGCAGGTGTTCCATCTGCAGCTGACGTACATTGCTGACATGCTTTTGAGCATGAGCATCGACTAAAATGTCATCAGCAGTTAGTGGTCTGTATGTAGCAATAAGCCAACTACGTATAATGGATAATATATTGATTTTAAAATTGCATTTCTTTTACACTGTAAATTCTTCCTTGTAAAATGAGTTGGGTGTGTTTTATACATTCCACTACACGCCTGCTTGTGTCTCTCAATTTTACTCAATCACATCTTCTAAAATTGTCAGTAAAGGACTTATGATAGCTAATAACACCACTAATGAGCCATATTGAGTTTTACTTTCATGTCAGCAGTCATTTTGTCACACTGTCACACTCTTCAGATGATGGATATCTCGCCAGGGAATGAAACTCTTCAAAGTCTGATTACACAGTGCAACTCGGCCAATAAAGTAATCTTTATCTCTTCTCTCTCCCTCCTCATCCCCCCCCCACCTCCCTTCTCTGCTGGCTCAGAGCCACCCAGGCCTCAGCAACCTCCCTCATCCGAGCGGGACCAGGCATGCGTTGTCCTCTCCAGCTCCGACAGCGAGCCGGAGCTCAGCCGGGGAAAAGCCCAGCCTCCTAAATCGCACAAAGACAAACAGAGCGAGGAGGAGGAGGAGAGGGAGGAGGATGAGCTTCCGAAAGACAAACAGAAGCTAGGAGAAGCAGAGGAGGAGGACAAGCGGCAGCTCAAAGGCAAACAATCAGCGGGAGAGCGAGGCGACATCGTCGCTGGCGGTGGCGGCTGCCTCCACCCTGACCACACACAGGGTAATCCCACCTGCAATCTTCTCCTTTTCATATCTAGGGAAATTGGCTGGTGCCGCATTGTCACCTGCCCATATAATGCTGTTTAATATCACCACTTCAAATCAATAAGGGACTATATCTCATTCCATATGGGGCTAGGCATTATTATTCTTACTATTATTAGTATCTAGTTAGGGATATTGCCTGTTTCTGCCCTCAGGAAGCTACAGGAGATATTGAGCACAACCTGACTAATCTCTAGAATGCAGCTTGTTGAAACAGATACCTGCACCAAAATGCACAGGAGGTTCAGTTGCTGTCCAGCAGGCAACTGATGAGCTTCTGACTGGCTATTTTTTAATAAAGTGAGCCGTGGTCTAATTACATAAAAAAGTTCCTTTCCTGCACCAACTGGTTTCCCGGTCCATTTTGGTTATATGTGTACATGTCTGCAAGTCTCCGAGGGATGTGTAGAAACAAATTCCCAATTACACACTGTGTAATATTGCAAATTAAGACCTCGGTGTTCAAGTACATATGTCTCAAAGGGATACGCAAAGCAATAAATTGCGCTAATTACAAAGAACTAATTACACTGTGTGCAATATGAGGAGCTCTAAAAAAAATTGCCAGACTAGCAGAGTCTAAGAAAAGCCTGTGACCTGGGTGTTGCCTCTGAAAGCGTGCAGACATTTTGGGTTGGAGTTATTGAATGATGAAACGGAGCTGGTAGCAGTTCAGGGCTGTTTTTAAAGCTTCTTTGTAAGACACTTAACATAGGAAGGAATATTGCACAAGCCATTTAGGTTTTAACAGGCAAGCTATCAACCCCTATTACCCTTTAACATCCTCAGATCAGTGTGCAACAACTTGGCAGATTCCTTTCCTTTCAGAGACACACATACACACACTTTGACATCTATTAGTGGCCAGAGATAGTCGAGTGGTTAATTTCCCATCTCTGTAGCTACCTGTGCCCCCCACGGTCTGGAATTGAATCCCACTGCAGCGTCCCCTGCAGTGCCTTCACCTACTGCCCCCCCCATAGATGAGAAAAGGGCCCGCTTTCTTTAAAAAAAACAAAAAAACCCCACTTTTATTTAGACAGATTCTAGGGGAGAGATAAAAGCTTCAATGTCGATCAGAAATGGCAGCACTAAAGAGACGCTGCTGGATGCCACCTTGGCCCCCCACCTCCCCTTTGGACATGTACTGATGTCAAACTATCTGTCTGTCTCTCATTTATGTATCTATCCGTCCATCCACACTGTCTATCTGTCCATCTGTCTACCTGTCTGTCTGTCCCATTGGTGATTAGTCAGTTTGTTAGTCACGTGCCGTTGCCAGTCTGTCTCCTGCAGCGTGGGTTTAGTACGAAACACAGCGGTTGTCCAATAAAAGTGACCTATGGGGTCAGGAGCGGTGCCTAATGATTTTTCTCCACCTGCCTGTGGTTTTAGAAGGCAAACCGCAGAGCTGTCGGCGGCCCCCGCCTCTTGATTGCTCTGAGATTACTTTCCTCACAACACAGACAGGCAATCACTACTGCTCCTCTCGGTCTTTCTCCTTACTGTCTGTCGTTCCATCCATCTGCATGATCCAAACATTTGAACATGGATACACGTGTTTTTTTTCCCTTTGGATGTTAGTTCAAACGTTGCAGCAGCAGCTGCACCAAACCTCTTCATACTTGAAGGGCGCAGTTAGAATTTTTTTTATTTTGTTATATCTTTTGTTTCAATCCTGCAGAAGATGAGATGACTCAGTCCAATTAGGCATTGTTTTCTTTCTTTCGCAGTAAAATAACAGATAAATCCCTTGGGGTGTTTTGAAGGCACTGTTCATACTGTGTAAGTGACAGTCTAATAAGACGGCTTTGTAAGATGAATTGCCCCCATCGTATAAATGGCCCACTTAATGCAGCTGGCGCGTTCCGGCACTGCAAACAGGGGGGAAAAACTGCTTACAACAAATAGGTTGCACATTGCAGAGCTGCTAGGTTTCATTACAGAGGTAGAAGGACAGATAGATGAGATTTTGTGAAATGCTAGTGTCCTAAAAATGTTTTGGTTCTAGCTCTGCACAATGCTTCCCACCTGGTCGTCCCGTTTTTTTTTCAGACTCAAAGTGGCCCATTCCAGCTGAAGCCGGGGTGAGATCAGAGCAGCGTGTACCCAAACTGGGGGAAATTGCACCTATGAGGACGGCAAACATAAAAATGAAAGATATGGACATTGTACAGAATAGGTCAAAGAAAGGAATTCATTTATCAGGATGAGCTCACCTTGGAGCAAAAAGAGGTTTAACGTAAAATCGCAGCACAAATATTCAACGAATCAGTGGTGGGACAACCGTAAATTCATTTGTAATTCTCAAATTATTGCCATCTGTGTAGGAAGAGTTTCCTTTACGGTAGCTTAATAGCAATAAAGCAAAAACTGCAAAATATAAGAGATTGAAATGATAGAAAATAGAAATAAAACTCAATGTAACTTAACTTTAAATAGAAAGTCCACAGGGCAGTGTTTAATAAAATAGTAACTTTGCACATTAGAATTTCACATAGAAATCCTATAATATAAAATATAACTCTGTTATAGATCATATAGAGCTTCCCAACATCATACTGTATAAAGTAGTTAAATTATTGCCTCCTTATATGTCATCCTATAACATAGCATATAATAATGTAACACTGACGGGGCCATTTCCCATCTGAATGGATACTTAAAGTAATGTTATTATTTATAAAGTAAAGGATCTGAATGTCTTCCACCACTGTAAGTGAGTGAGATAGTGAAAAGGTGGAAACTTGAAAATAAAAAAATGCACAAATCGTGTCTTCAAAATGGAAATCACCAAAAGTCTCCCCCTCCACTCAAAAATGTGTTTTTCTTCTTGTTCCTAGAGTTGGATGTTTGAGCTTCACTGTGCAGAACGATGCATGTGCAGATTTTGACACCCAAAGGCTGTTTTCACATTCATCTGCTGAAAGTGGAGCGTTTCTCTGTGCTCAGTGAAAGTCAGATTTAAAGGGGCCGGCCTATGAGCGTGATTTATGTCATCACATATAGTTTGGAAGCCAGTTCTGATCGAATTTGCAGCTTATACAAGTGTGATGTAGAGACTTAATGAGCCAGAAGGAGTAGTACAATATCTACATTATATATAATGTAGATATCACAATTTTTTTGCAGAACAAATACATCAGACACACATTATTGTTCCAAGCAGACTATTTTTATATATGTTTTAAGACCTTTCTGGAGGGATCTTTAACTGTATTTTTCTGAAGTAGGTACATTAAGCCCCTAAAACATTGGCTTCAAATCTTAAGTTCTGTTTCTGTAACATCAAATGTTCATGGATAAATAGATGAAATTTAATTGAAGTTCAGAAAAAAAACAATGCATTATTTATTAAGAGTTAAATACTCAGTGAGAAAAGCTCAGAGAAAAAAAACAGGATTGAAAAATCTCTCCTTTAAAATAACCCAAACTGTTCAAACTTTGGCAGAAAGTTGTGTGTGTTAAGAAGGTGATAGGGAAAGTGTGTTTGCAGGGCCTTGAATATCTTAGTAATTTCAGGTCAAAATAGTTGTAATATGACTTTCTATCATATCGTAATACCATAATGTTAAAATTTTGCACCCATTGTCAAACATTCTGGCCCACCTTCAAAGCATGATGGGAGGGGTGTCTTTGTTCCAGCATGTTCCTCTGTCACTCAACCCTCTTAGTGTTTTAGTACAAAAGCTGATTCAGTCCGATAACCAACAGAGACCTGGTGCAGGTACGTGACAGCACCTGTTCAATGGAAACACTCTTGTTTCAGGCATCGGTCTGTCAGTATTTTCTCCCATTAGCAAGCCAAATGGACACACACACAGTCAAGGCAGACAAGTGGCCACGCGAAGTGATTTAAGGCAAGTATTATCAGAGTGTTATAGGTCATTGTCTAAATGAAGCGTGGTCGAGCAGCGGCGGTCTCATTTCCACCGCCTGACCTTTTCTTGCTAGATGCTGGCAGGATGAGCGAGCTACATAGCTGACACTAATGACCTGCTCTCTCTCTTCTCTTTCTCTTTTTCTCTCCATCTGTGACTGTCATTTTCTCTCTCTCTCTTTCTCTCTAGCTGCTCCATCCTGTCTTTCAGCAAATTCTTGAGCGAACTTGTGAGAAATAAATTGTGAGGTTTCTGTCAAAGAAATGGTCCTTCTTCGTTAACACAAGTTAAAGGAATAGTTCAGCATTTTGGCAAATATCCTTATTTGCTTTTTTTCCCCAAGAGTGATATGAGACTTATAGCAAACTTGTCTGTGTGTTACTGTGAGTATGGAGCTGGACTTAAGATGCGATCTAGATGTGATTAAAACTAGGCTAGCCACCTCCTGATTCCAGCTGTGTTCTAACACACAGACATGAGATTGATATCAATCTTCATATTGTACTCTCAAAGACAAAGCAAATATTATCCATAAATGAACTGTTCCTTTTATATCTTTCATCCAACACTTGTGAAATCTGATTTTAGTCTTTCATACAGCTCCAAGTATCGTTTACATTGTGAAAATTAAATTTTAATCTAACTTGTCAAGCAGCCATATTTCATGATTTCGGTTTTGCTTCTGAAAAATTTTACCCAACACCTTGTGTTGCACCAATCATCAAACCACAACATGACTGGCTGCCTTTGCTACTGGGTGTTGTAAATCAAAAATGAAACATAACTCGGGGTCTTTGTTTTGTTTTGTTTTTTTAACCTAACTTAAGTTAAGACCAAAAACCAGTATGAAATGTGAATGTTTAATCAGGTCCAATTTTGAGAGACCTCCTGCCTTTTAGTCCATGCTCAAAGGACAATAAAGATATTAATCATTTTAAACACTTTGATATGCTACACTTTGGTGTTAGAAAGTCATATTCATCTGTGCTGCAACGTTCTTCTTGGGTTTGTTCAAACTAATCGGCTCCTGCTGCTTTCAGAAACATAAAACAGGAAAGCAGTCAGCGTGTAGACCCCACATGTAGGTTGGTTGTTGTATCAAGTGGTGATAGGAAAAAAAGCAACATTTACTTTCATTCCTATTTATATCAAAATGTCAAAGATAATTACTTTTTTTTACATTTTCATTTCAGGTTCTATAATCAAATGTTTTAAATAAACTTAAATATGAGGTCATGTGGATGCATACACATTTGAATGATCTGCTACAAATGTCATATCTTCTCAATATTGTGCTCTGTGTAATAAATCTCAAACGCTGCTGGAGTTTAATGTCTCTGCTAGTCATTGCATCACCAGAGGAGCAAGCAGAGGTACCAATAAAGCTGTGGAAGCCAATGATGAGCCAATAATAAATACTCGGCGAGATATTAGTCAGCCTCTTCCTCTCTCCCTGCAGACCGGAGTGCAGCTTTGTGTCTGCATGCTGATGCTAATGACGATGATGAGGGCAATGATGGAGATGACGCCAGCACCGGCCATGCCGTCTACCCGGGCCTGCAGTTCTGCGCCAGCCAGTACACAGACCGCATATATCTTTACTCCAAGGTACCGCCGCCTGTGTGAGCGTTTGATTGTGCATATTGGATCACGGTTAGACTCAGCTCATAAGGGGACCAGAGATGTTTTACTAATGATTTTTTCCCCTGCTTCTTCTAATAGCGGCTGCAGGAGCACTGAATGGTGTTATCCCCTTTTCTTTAAATGTCTTTGCTCCTGCGGGCTCCTGTCATTTATAGGGTTCTTTCACATGCATTTGATGCAGACATTTTGACATGTCACAGTAGAAAAAGCACAAGTGTGAATAATGAAATGAATAAAGGCGGAATTCCAATTATCTGCTTCAGTTTTAGGGTCTTTTCCTGACACGTCAAAATGTCTGCAGTGAGAAAGGCCTATTGGGGCTGGAGTTTTAATGACACCACAACTGATTGTAGTCTCTTCCTTTTGCTTTGGTTTCTTTCTAAATTTCTTAAACTTGGTTTTTTTGTCCTGTCCAAAACGTTCCACTTGAATATTGCAAAGGTTAGTGCAAACAAGGAAACAAGCCATAATTCAATAAAAACTGTCAGACATAAAAATGTAAGTTGATGCACTGACTTGCAGTTTGTGATGCGTTTCAGCCACAAATACTGCTCTCAGGGCTAGTTAAGTAGTTTAATTACTCATCAACAGGTAGCGTTTTCATTGTAAATCATCAGCACCCTTCACGTCTCCTTTATTTAGTTATTTCTGCAGCTGTTTGAAGACGTGCAGTCTTAAGCTGTGCAGCTTTAACTGTCAGGAAACAGGGGCTTTTTTCACTTTCTAAATAAAAGCGTCTGATGTAATCATTTTTATTTCATGTCAAGGCAATAAGAAAAAGTAAAACTGAAAGGGCATGTAGAGTTTTGAGACCCACTTGATGTTTTGTTCCTTACCAGCTTGTCCCTGTCATATTCAACTGCACAGTGAATAAAACATAATTAATTACGTTTTTCTTCTTTCTTTTTTTTCTCATTGAGATCAAGCTATCTTTATCAAGATAGAGCTGCAAACAACAATACAGTAAAAAAAAAAAAAAAAATCCGAGACGTGCAGTTCCTAAGTGTCTGTTAATTAGCAAACAGGACAGATGTGAGAACATAGTTAGAGTGTAAGAAGGAATCGTGATTGACAGAGCTACAAATTATTCCAGTTAAAAGTGGCCTGGCAACGGAAACCAACTTAAACTATAACAACATGCTATAATGTGTCATAGGTTTAGCACAGTATTAATAAAAATACATTTTACTGAATAACCTTGATGCTCGATACCAGCTCTGATTCCCTTCCGTCTATTACCAGAGGAACAAAAGCCTGTTCGAGTCACTTCACTTTTTTTTTTCTCTGAGATTGATCGAGGCTGTGTGGTAAAAGGGGAAAGAAAAGCTCTTCGAATCCATTCATATTCTTTGGTTCAATACAAATTAAAGGTTTAGGAATTACCTAAGGATTACTGGTACAATTTAATAAGGATCCACCCATCTTCAAGCTTCTTCCAACTTTTCCTTTTTCATCTACAATCCTCCTGTCTTTATACAACACTCAGATAGTCTTTTCAACATTTTATTTAATATATTTTTTGCAAAAATGTTCACAAATCTTTTATTTATAAACATTTTAAAAAGAGAAGTCCTCCAGTTTTAAATGTCAAGCTCTGTTTATTGTGAAAATAGCTCTATAATATCTTCTGTGGTTCTGGAGAAGCTTTGTCAGTATAGTATCCACGAGCGGAAAATCCTGTGATCCTGCGCACAAATGCGTCCTGCGAGCACTGGGCTGTGACGAGCACGAGCTTGACCCTCCCTAGTCAATTAGACTTTTGAGACTTGGGTCCCTATCTTGCCCCCGCGCAAAGGGCAGCGCAAGTGTCATTGCCGGTGACCAACAGACGCTGCTGTGATTTTCATGCCCAGCGACCACGTTGTTTAAATAAAAAATGCACTTGCACCCATCTGTGCGCCCATGGGAATGTCGGCCTTCAAATGAGGTGTGGTCACGACATTGTTGGTGCTTTGCTATCTTGAGGCAGCAGACAGCGACTGCGCCATTGACTTTAGACCTGTTTTTTGGGGGGTTCAATGGCGCAAACGCTTTCTGCTGCCTCAAGATAGCAATGTGCCATCCATTTGCAGCATTTCACTATTTCTTGTTATTTTAGGGGTGCATTAGTCCTCCTGATCAATCATATCAATCAAAATTATTTCAGAAGCTAAAAGTTGTGTTCTGTTCCCTCTGTCCTTGTTTTGCTGCTTAAATGCCCCGCGATATTTGCTATGACTTTCCTGCGCACATAAAATGACTGACTGAGCCTCTCTAATCATGTAAGTAAATCGTTAAAGAAAACACTCAAACATCATCAGAACTCAAAACCAAAGAAACCAAAGGAAGAGGGAGAGAGATGTGACCCACGACCTGTTCATCATAGTTTATAATAATGTAGCGCAGTGAGGATCCAGACGTTTCATAGAGGAGACAGCGTCTGTCTGTCTGTTAACAGACTCCAGTCTGCAGTGGAGTTCAGACACTTCACTGACAAACCACAGAGCTGCAGAGTAAGACCAGGCTTCATGATCAGAGACAGTATTTATATCACGTCCACACTTCTGTCCACATCCCCCTCTGTGCTGCGAGCCTGCCTTTCAATCAGTCAATTTATATTGTGCCACTCATCCTTCTGTTAGCAACGAGCCAAGGTACAAGCGCATGTGGCTTTTAAAGGGAATGGGAGATGACACTCTGATTGGTGTATTGCATGTCACGCCCAAAACATACCCATGAACTATTCCCCGACTAAGTGCAACCCTTTTGAACTGTGCACCTGGTGCACTGACCATTACTACCGAGCTTCAAGCCGTGCGCTTAGATGGTTAAAATAAGGCTTGAATAGACCTTTGATTGGTCACTAGGAATACTGTGACCTTTGATTGGCTATTTGTTTTGATCACTCACAGAGTGGAAGACAGGCAGTTGCCAGCCCTGACCTTTACTAACTTATGCATTGGGTCTACATTATTTCGGAGCTATTGTAAACTACACGGATGATATCTGCCACTGTTGTCGACACAAAAGCCTATTTTACATTTTGGTTATACACGATTTACTTGTGTTAAGGGCGTTTGTGAGGTGGCTGTTCCTCACTGTACCTCTTTTTTCTTCTGAGGGAAGAAGTCATAAATTTGCAGCTATCCTAAGCTCCAGTCGCTTCATTTTTTCAGTCTCTCGCAAGGGGCTTTGTGTGAAGACTTCAGGTATTTCATTCAGATAATCAAGTAAAATATTCTTTCACTTGCTTTTGTCATTGAACTTTCTTGTGCTTCCTAAACCCTAGCAGGCTAAGATTAACTATATTTTAACCCAGTATGACTATGATTACACTCCTGTGCGTTCTTGGCACTCATCTTAAGGGCCACTTGCCAACAGACCTCTGTATTGATCGGACTGTGATACTTAACACCCTTTTGTTTCATTCATAAGGGATCAGATCCCCACTAACGTAGATAAGAGACAAGAGGGTTTTACATAGAGAAGACCAAAGCGCTGAACTGAATCACCAATGCAGTATTACCCTGACTGCAATAGACAAGTGTCATGTACGCGTGGCTGAGACGATAAGCCACGGAGATAAATGTCCCCCGCTGTCGTTTAAATGATAAACTGTAGGAATTTGGCTGGAAAGCTGTCACATCGGGATAATCCTGGACCAGGCGTAGAATTCACCCGGGGGGCCGCTCAGTGCACAATCAGAGGAAGATTTGTCACCGGGTTTGAATGAGAAATACTGAGAGCGTTAGGAATTTTATGTCTATTTTCTACAACATCAAACAGTTGTTTATTCAAGGATTCGCTGTGCCTGCTCTCAGGTGGGTGGGAGGTTTGTTTCATGTCCTCACCAGAAGTAGCAGATGGGTGGGGTTTACCACGTCAGGATGATTCAGACATGCATTATGTTGTGCTGGACTTATTTTGAAAGCCTTCGCCGTGACTCCCATGTTGTGTGGTACTCATTATGTTGTCATAGAGTGTGTGACAAACCCCTGAAATACTTTATAAAGAATGATACCATAAAAATCCACAATCATCAGGTATGAGTCAGGTTTGCTTCTAGTCATCATAGGCATCGAAGGACTTTTTGCACAAGACATCAGGCATTTATCTAGTGTTTGGTATATTTTGATGGTAAATCGCAGGACATTCAAGCTACTATCCAGAATGAGGGGGCTTCTGTGCTCTATAACTTGTATAACAGGCAAACAGCAGGATGTTTTTATATGCTAACTTGACTTTTTTTAATGCTAACATTTCTTGTGTGAAGCCGGCTTTTCTGCTTTTAACCAGTGCTGTCTGTTGATGGTCTGAAACAAAGCTACTGTTCATTTCTCACACACCCAAAGAGAGCTAACTTTGAATAGCCTCGTTAGCATTGCTTATGCTAGTAGCTGCCATTTCTAACTAGAACTACATGTTTTATGTTAACTAGTTTGAGCTTGCAGATGTCTATAAATGTGAGGCGTGCAATGCAACACTGCTACATGCAAATTTTACATGTTTCCAGCAAGTAGCTTTATTTATAAAAAATGTCCTTATATAAGCTATCATAACATTTTGGCAGTGTATTTTCTGCGCCTGTTGCATTTGCACCCTGGCTGTATACCTGTCTATATATATTACACCGTATATAGACATTATAAGTATGAATATAGAAACGAAATTACATGAATTCATTATTATTTCATGTAATTATTATTAAATAATCTGATTTTGGGATGAATTCCTATTTTTAATGTATGTATTTGTTACGCTTTTTATTGTGGAGGGTAGTACAACTCTGTTCAATCACATCCAGCAAGGCTCTATTCCTGCCCCATGCTGTTGCAGCACAACCCGCTCTGCCGTTCCCCTGACTCTCCATGATATTTATTTACCATAATCCAAATAAACACACAGGCCTCTGTACAATGAGGGTACAGCCCTGTAAAAACTTTCCAGTGTTAATTTGTATCTCCAAAAAGCTGCCGGAGGATATTAACCTTTACACTTTCTTCTTTCTCCTGTGGCTCTAACAGCTGGGGTCCAGATTCTAGCTTTTACATAAATTCACTGGTCAGCCTCTTATTGGTTAAAGGATGCTGACGTTTGGCACCCTCACTGTTGTTTGAGTGAGGTTCTCT